GTGTAGGGAGGCCTTTAGATGGCGTGGATGGGCGAATAAAAATGAATATTCTGATATCGTGTTCTACTGTTTATTAATTCTATTGTCCTTCTGCATCCATTGTGCTTGCCTCATGCTTGTGTGCTTAGAAACTGCTTTTGTGTTATTCCCTGCTCTTTGCGTTTAATAAACTTTGATTCGACTCACGATAGATACGCGCTTGTGTTACAATATTCCCAACATTTTCTATTCTTTTCTATCCGTATGAATCAAGAATTTTGATTCAAATAAATTAAAATAGATTAAAAATGTTCAATCTATTTCAATCCCTTTTCGGATACTGGGAGTTCATCGTTTTTGTTGTATGTTTGTATATTTTTCAACAAAATTTTGTTTACAATTTTTTATATTTATGAAATGTGCTTTTCTTTTCTAATGTTGTTTTTAATTTGACACGTACTTTTCTAGCAATCCGAATGTAGCGCAGTATTTGAGTTTTCCGTCTATAAGATGTAGCATGCATCGTGAACGTATAAAAAGCAGACCACCTATACCTGATACATTGACATCATTACGTGACATTTTGGAACACTGTGATATAATGAAAAATGCATATAAGGGAAGCTTAACTACAGATAATCGAAAAACTGCAATAATTTTATCTAGTAATTCTCTACTAGAAGCTTTATCGTCCGCTACTGAAATCCATGTCGATGGAACATTTTCTGTAAGTTTTTATGCAATTGTTTTACCTATATACAATTTCAACAAAAAATTATAACAGTATTTACAGTAACAAACAAGTCATAATAATAAGGGCAAAATATTTTAGCACATTATTTTAAATTGGATTATGAAAATTATTGTATATTATACTTTTTTAAGGTTCTTCCACGTATGCCTCATGTGGCGCAACTCTATTCTGTACATATACGATACACGAATACAGTAAGATATTTGTTCAATTGAAATTTAATTTATTTTTAAGATTTTTTAAACATCAAGGTACAAATTAATTTTTCCAGGGCATTGGAACATTATTTATATTATGTGATGAGCGTTCAACTACTATGTATGATGCTTTATGGGACAAAATTATACGAATGGTACCACAACTTAAAGAGAACGTTAATTTTATAATGAGCGATTTTGAAATGGCTGCAGTAAAATCCCTTAGTACAAAATTTCCCAGAGCAAAGATAACTGGATGTTGGTTCCATTTCAATCAGGTATATGAAATAATTATTGTACCTTAAGTAGATAGAAATATTAAAC